CATTAACGACGGTCGCATGGTGGTCCGGTCAGTCTCCATACATAGTCCGGCGAATGCCGCATCCGGAACTCGGACCGACCTGTGAATTCAGGCTTTGCCACACCCTTACCGCATCACGCCGACGCCCTGCATCGACATTGACTTCGGCGCCAGGCCATATTTCTTTTATTACTCACTTTGCATAAATTATTGATTATGCCACGATTTTTTTTTATTATTATTATTATTATCTCCGGTTTGCACTGTTTTTTGTGCACAGGAAAATGATCCGGGGACTTCGGCGTCACTCTGCCAGTCTGCATTGACCGTGCTATGTCACCATCGTCGTGTCGAGCTCTCCGCTCCGCCACCTCGGGACCGGCTTGGGGGATGGAACCTTGTCCCGCATCAAGCTCGGACTGCGTCATCAATACCGAACACATTAACCAGCTAAGTCGCTTTCATGCTCAAAGCTTTAATTTTAACTTGTGTTCGGTTCGACCAAGCATTATACTTCTTTTAGAAAAAAGTTGCTTGTAAAATTTTTTCGTTGTCCAAACTTTGTTTGTGACACACAAATTCAAGGACCCAATTCACTTGGGGGTTTCCTTTATGAAGCTTTTCCTCTTGCATATGATTATACTTGTACGACTTTGTTCCTTGTTCGTGTATTATGCCACAATATGCACCATATTGACTTAAGCGATTTGCAAGCTGGGTTGCCTCGCTCCTGTGTTTACCCCTACGTTCCCGATTGTTCGGCTAGGAAGTAAAGGGAGCACCTCTGCGATTGTCATGATCGGGTCACCCGAGCCGGACCTCAGACTGGGTGAAGCCGAAAGCTAGCGCTCTTATAGTTTTCAATGATGGTCGGCACACAACGGAACTCATGAGTACAAAAAATCTATTGCACAAGTCTCATAATAACAATGAGCACCGAAGAAAGGTATCGGTGGGGATACTATTTTCTTCGAAGATGCTTCTTACACTTTGCAGTAATATAGCATAAGTTCCCTGAGCGCGCTTTGTCTGTTACAGCCTTATGGCCTGATTGCCTGGTTATTGGAAACACCGTCGATATTCTCGACAGATGGAGTACATAACACTTTTCGGTCCTTGACCGAAGAGGGAGAAGCCGACGGTCGGTTAAGACGCGTTTAAAGTTCGGTTGAACATAGATATGATATAAGTACTTCGGTACATGGAATCATTCTTTTACTCAAGTCACTTGGGGGCTCTTAAGTTTATTTGAGCCGTTTTATAATAAGTGTTCTTCTTCTTAGTCGTTGCAAAGTTTTATTATTATTATTATTTATCACTCCTTTTTTCGACACAAGTGTGTGGTCACTAGCCGGGGAGCCTAATTTCTTTCTCAAGGCCGCTAGAGTTTAGTTTGCTAAACTGGCCTAATGAGAAGTACTCCGTCTTCGGGATAGGAGGTTGAAGCCGTAGGCTGACCCGCTTGAAGTCTTGAGATAGGATGTGTCATATTAAAGCGCGACAGAAGCACTCCTTTTTTCTAAGACCAATTTTCGGATTGGCACCGAACACTTGATCTTGTTCGGACGTCAAGTTTTTACTGACGTTTGTTTTGGTTTTCCATGCTTATGGCACTTTTAAACTATTCATGTGTTTCCAGCACAAGTCTCACAGTGCAATGCCGGACACTTTTATATATTCGGCAAAAACATTCTCGGATCTCACTATATATGCATTGGTTTCGAATTGTGTCTTAGTCAGTAGTTGGGTTGCCCGGCTCCTGCGCTTGCCTCCTACGTTCCGCTTTGTTCGGCTAGGTTTGCAAATGGAGAACCACTGCGATTGTGCTTCCAGCTCACATGGTTAAGCACCTCAGTGGAGAAAGCCGAAAACTGACTGTTACAATAAGCGTAAACTGGTCAGCAATCCGATGACGGTGTTAAATGACTAGCCATTCATAACATTGGCCGAAGTGTTTACGGCTTGACCTCGACTGTCGCCGAACACTACCGAGGGCTATTAACTGGCCTCCCAAACTAAATCCTCAATATTTTGCTCTTACATTAGAGTTGAGGTTTCATTATCATGCTTAGCATGACAACCCAAAGAAAGGAACCGATAGCAGGACTATTTTTTTTGGAAGACATTTCTTATGTTAAACAGTAATATAACATATCTCTCTGCGTACCTTTGTTTATAAAACCGTATGGCCAGATTGCCTTGTTTGTCATAAATCTTTGCCATCATAAAGGATTTAAAAAGTAGGACAAACACTCCCCGGCTTCTGGCCGAGGAGGTTGAAGCTGGTGGTCGGTTAACAAAGTTTTGTACAATGCGGATCCGAGCATTAATGACATAAAGTACTTGGATACATAGAGTCATTACACATAATTTGTGATTTTACTATGGATATCGATCCTTAATTTGGCCACCCATTCCCGCATTAAGGCTCGGGGGCTACTAGGCTTCGGACTTATTATTTACAAATATTAAAGGGGCACATCGATCCCCTGATCTGGTGTTTCCACCAGACCAGTGTCTCGGGGGCTACTACATTGCTTGTTCAATGCAGAAAATTTTAAGTGCAATAAAGTTGCCGAGGAGATTTTGATCCTCAGGTTGGTCGGCCGCACCCATCCCGAGTCTCGAGGACTGAGCACGCCGCTTTCTGTATCCCGGAGTATTCTGTCGAGCTAGGACTTGATCCTTAGGCCGATTTTGCAAATCAACCTGAGTCTCAGGGGCTACTGTGATCAGCGGTCTTACGTCATCTTTCAAGTGCATCTCAGGTTTTAAACCGATACACACCTTGAGGGCTACTGGCTATATATCTTGGCAGAGAATAAATTGCACCAATAAAAAATATTAACAAAAATCGGCCCACATTCGGGGTGGTGCACCACATCGGAAGCAGTCTGCCATAAAGCTCGGGCGTTAGTGGCTGGCTCCATAGAGGGCATTTCCGGCATTAAGCTCGGCTAAATTCCTTCAAACTTCTTTGAACCAAGGTGATTTACGACACCTCGGATACAGTCCGGCGTTGGAGCTCGGATACATAGTCCGGCATTGGAGCTCGGATACAGTCCGACGTTAGAGCTGGGAAGCGGTCCGGCGTTGGTGCTCGGCTGCAAAAGATACCTCGAATGCAGTCCGGCGTTGGAGCTCGGACGCAAGAGGACGCTGCCGCCCAGGAACAATTTCAAACCCGAGGTGTGGCATAAAAATAACAAGGCATTGATAAAGGCCGGAAACTTAAAGGGGCTCCTCGGATACCCGATGTATAAACTTGTCGAATTCACTTCGGCGATCCTCAAGATCGAAGATGAGAAGATTTGTTGAACCAGTTTTCAAGACCGACGACCGAAGATGAAGAACAGTTCGGAAGAATCGAGGAGCGTCCCTAACTTGAAGACCGGTTCAGGGGGCTACTGACGGTGTCCTGGACTAGGGGGTACTCAACACGTCATCTCCCGATCTGATAGATTGGGCCGAGGACCCCCGTGGTCGTATACTCATGGGCCAGTTCGGATAGCTGCCGCATACAAGGAAGATTCCACAAGACTTGGTGATCAAGACAAGGACTTCTCCCCACCGGCGTATTCGGCTAGGACTCTTGTTAACCTAGGCCTCTGGTGCATTATATAAGCCAGGGCCAGGCTAGTCGATAGATGATATATACATACAATCATACCATAGGCTAGCTTCTAGGGTTTAGCCTCTACGATCTCGTGGTAGATCAACTCTTGTACTACCCATATCATCAATATTAATCAAGCAGGACGTAGGGTTTTACCTCCATCAAGAGGGCCCGAACCTGGGTAAAACATTGTGTTCCTTGTCTCCTGTTACCCATCGATCCTAGACGCACAGTTCGGGACCCCCTACCCGAGATCCGCCGGTTTTGACACCGACACCGCCCCATAAATTATACGCACTACATTATGAAACGAAGGGAGTATCATGCTTTGTTAAATATTCCTACTCCCTTTGTAACATAAGACATTCTTTGACACTCTCATCATGGACTCTAGAAATGTCTTATAAAAAGTTACAGATGGAGTACCATTGTAAATTAATATAAGACGGTTCTTGACAATAATTTGAACTAAAACCACGCCACTTATTATTGAACGAGGGAGTAGTACCATTAACAATTTACAGAAAGTCGAGTGTTGTATATTAGACGGTTTCGTAGAGGGTTGTGTTTTTTAGACTTCGGAGGTAGTTCGACGTTGTAATATGGACTTATCTCAAATGTATATGTGTGTAAAAATTTAGGATGAAATACCTTCAAATGTGATCTGTACAAAAATACAAATTCATGGACTTTGAGGATGAATATTATCATCTGCCAAGAAGCCCTAGATCTTTTTTTTTCTGCATAGCCCTCATTTCAATCTATTTCATCCTGAAAATTTACACACATGTATATTATGCATCCATGTATATCTGTATCTTTTTCAGAATGTTTTGAAACGTAGAAATAAGAATTTTAATGGATTTTGAAAACTACAAATGTAGGCCTCCATGGAGCTCGGCCTCCAAAAGCAAATTCCGACTAGTCGATGCCCTTAGATAGCGGATGTGATGCTGACGTGCCAGAATTATTGGTACAAGCCATATGTTGCAATCATTCAAACAATTATTTAACAGGTATGATAATGCAAACAGTAATGTTTTAATGCAAATAGTAATGTTTGTCGAATCTCTCATACCTGATGGGTTACAGCCAGTGTGTCACACCACAAGTACAGTCCTGCCAAGAATAGTACTCCCTCTGTTTCTAAATATGAGTCGTTTTAGAGATTTCAATGTGGACTATATATGGATATATATAAACGCATTTTAGAGTGTATATTAATTCATTTTGCTCCGTTTGTAGTCTGTATTGGAATCTCTAAAAAGGATTATATTTAGAAACGGTGGGAGTATGTGTCACACATTGGTTCCCCTTCTATTATAAAATGTGCTGTATGTGTCTGCAAAGAACTATCAACCATATCCTACACCTCTCCCACCTTTACCACACAATCTGCCTCACAATGTCTTCTTCCTCCTTGTGCACGCTGCAAGAAAGCGGTGCCAAAATCAACCAGGAGCTCTACCACAAGTTCACCAACGTGGTGTCCTCCTTGCCGTGCTCCCCGGCTCTCACCAGGCACCCGCTCTACCGCCATGACAATGGCTGGTATGCCCCCCTGGCGCCAATGGTCTCCACAATGGTCGCGGACGCATGCTTCTCGGCGCATCCCTGGGACATCGTCATTGCCACAATGCCGAAGTCCTTCACAACGTGGATAAAAGCAATGCTTTACTCCACGGTGCACAGAAGGGAGCACCCCACAGATCGGGGACTGGGAGAACTATCTGTCGCCAGAGACGGCAAGGACGATCAACGCATTATCGAGGCCAGGTTCAAGGGTTCTGGCCTCCGTGTGTAGCCGGTCATGGTGTAATATTGTTACTCAATCATTGTACGTGCTGTGCTAGATATGTAACCTGGAATAGTTATGCATGTGGATTCAGTGAGAGACTGGGATTGTGCGTTTTGCGTGCATAGGTGTGCTGTATGTGGCTGTTTCCTTCTGTATTGGTGTTTTTCTATCTAAATAAATAGCAGAAACATACTTGATCGTCTACCAGCGCTCCACATGGAAATATCTAGTAAGTGATTTATGATATCAGTAGTTCAGTACACACAACTAGGCATGCATGACCAAAACACACACGCCAATCCTTCAAACTTACATCGTGTTGCTCTTGCTATCTATAAACGGAGACCGGAACCTCTGAAAACCTGGACTCAATGATGGTGTCTATCCTCTCCGCCATCTCCGCCGATAGATGGGTCTCCCAGTCGCTGAGTTCGCCATGCCAGAACAACCAACTGTTATCTTACTCGGCGAACACAATCTCCATCTTGCCGTACTTGGTGGCGTCGAGGTCGAGCCCAGTCATGTGCTCAATTGAGCATGGGTGACGATGGCTCCACGCCAAACGACTATGCAGCGGAATCCGCGGCCTTTGGCACATGTGCTGCCGGGTCCCGACTCATCTCTTCGTGCCACGGGAAGAGAATCTGCTCAGGATGCACGAGATGTGCGTCCCAGTTCACCAAACTTCTGTTAGACCTCTTCATCGATTTTCGCGTCGTCTTTTTTCGGTGTCATGGTTCGAAGACATTGTGTGGCGGAGAGCCTGCGATAAAGGTAGGAGGATCTACGATAAGGTACATAGTTCTTTGGAGCTGCATAAGGGGTATCTTATGACAGAAGGGTAGTCATGGCTGCAACCAAGTGGCACAAGTCAACACCAACCGTGACTATTCGCATTATTGAGAAATATTGTTGGTAGATATTGACGTTAAATTATTGGAATTACTTAGCAGACAAAGGCACAACGCTCTAAAACAACGTCTTCACGTCGCTTGCGCACCAATGTTGGCTGGTCCAACCAGATATCACCAGCCTGAGATGCAGTTGGTGGAGACGCGACACCATTGTCTAGTTGATTGTTGTCACACATGCCACGAAAGCACCTAGCAGCCATCACTACCAGATGCGCCCCCTCGACGATATTCGGCGGCAGCAACTCCCACCGAGACTGAGCCAAAGCCAAGAGGATCATGCTATATCCTCTTGATCTGGCATACCTCACCGTTACCGAGCTGCAACGGCCCGCCACGCCGATGCATTCACCAGCCCGAGATGCAGTTGCTAGTGTCAAGAGCCTTGAAGACCACCATGACAGCCAACCACACCGCTGCCACAACGTAACCGACAGCGAGTAGATCGAGGTTCGTCGGGGGCGGAGGCTTGGTTTGCCCACGCAACAAGGTTACGCCCTCCAGTGTGGTGGCCATGTGCATTAATCCATCCCACCTGAGCGACCCTGGTGGCGACGAACTGGAGCGCTACCTGGCTGTTGCGGAGGTGCGCGGCGACTGCCCCTTATGACCCAGCCGGTCACATCGCCATGGTCGACGAGCGAGAGAGCATGTTATTATGTTTTTTACTATAGCTCCTGACATCATTTACGATTATTTATGGACTAACCCGGACTTACAGTTCCATTTAAGCTGTGTTTGGATTTAAGTTTATTTCATTTGGTGTGCCATCACAATCAAGGTCAGCCTAGGATCTTCTGAGGGTATTGTTGGAGCAGCCCATGGATTGACGGATACACACACGCGCGAGTACGCAGTGGACACGCCTACACTTCTCACGTTGTACACAATGGAGTGGAAGAACGCAAATACATAGAGAGCTTTTGCAGCAGACACACTTGTGACTTCTCTTGTATTTCTTCTCATTCATCAATCCAACTTAAATACCCAATACAATAGATTCACACGTAGCCAAGGCAACAACCTGGCCGGATCTCATGCCATGCACCGTACGACTTGATCCATTAACCAACTAACCTATGCACTAACTAATCTAGCTACGTGCATGCACACGTATAACACCGGCGCAATCTCTCCACAAGTGCCACATGACTTCGCCCGCTTATAACAAACTAATGCTTGCAACGCTATCTAATCTCCTGGCCACAACTAAGTTGTCCAGCCGTTCTGACCAAGCCGTCGCGCACCTTGCCGCTTCTCATGGCCATGCTGCACCGCACATCATCCGTCATCATGCCTTGCACGCCGTATCGCACACCAGCTGGCCTTCGCCGGAGTACAACTCGCTGAGATAAGCTATATGCAGAATAAAATTGGAAATGTTGAAAATAATCTTGACACTGTCATGCACACGTGTGTAGTTTCTAGCGGGTCAGTGCATCAAGGCTGGTGTGGGACCGTCGGAGCGTCCCATCGCAGGATTTGACGGTGCGACTGGCCTTCCTCCTTAATTCTCCATTGCAATGTGCGGGATTTGGCGGCGACCGACTCTTGTCCCGGCTCGACTGCCTGCTTTTGCAAGCATGCTTCACTTATATGGTAGCTGCTGAGATTGCGTAAAATGGGGGCGACAACACATGTTCACTTTAATATGGTGGTGCTGCAGGAAATATGCCCCATAGGCAATAATAAAGTTGTTATTTATATTTCCTTATATCATGATAAATGTTTATTATTCATGCTAGAATTTTATTAACCGGAAACTTAGTACATGTGTGAATACATACACAAACAAAGTGTCACTAGTATGCCTCTACTTGACTAGCTCGTTAATCAAAGATGGTTAAGTTTCCTAGCCATAGACATGAGTTGTCATTTGATGAACGGGATCACATCATTAGAGAATGATGTGATTGACTTGACCCATCCATTAGCTTAGCACTATGATCCTTTAGTTTATTCCTATTGCTTTCTTCATAACTTATACATGTTCCTATGACTATGAGACTATGCAACTGCCGAATACCGGAGGAGCACTTAATGTGCTATCAAACGTCACACCGTAACTGAGTGATTATAAAGATGCTCTACAAGTGTCTCCGATGGTGTTTATTGAGTTGGCATAGATTGAAATTCGGATTTGTCACTCCGATTGTCGGAGAGGTATCTCTGGGCCCTCTCGGTAATGCACATCACTATAAGCCTTGCAAGCAATGTGACTAATGAGTTAGTTACAGGATGATGCATTAGGGAACGAGTAAAGAGACTTGCCGGTAATGAGATTGAACTAGGTATGATGATACCGACGATCGAATCTCGGGCAAGTAACATACCGATGACAAAGGGAACAACGTATGCTATTATGCGGTTTGACCGATAAAGAACTTCGTAGAATATGTAGGAGCCAATATGAGCATCCAGGTACCTCTATTGGTTATAGACCGGAGGTGAGTCTCGATCATGTCTACATAGTTCTCGAACCCGTAGGCTCCACACGCTTAACGTTCGATGACAATCGGTATTATGAGTTTATGTATTTTGATTTACCGAAGATAGTTCAGAGTCCCGGATGTGATCATGGACATGACAAGGAGTCTCGAAATGGTCGATACATATAGATTGATATATTCGACAATGCTATTTGGACACCGGATGAGTTCCAGGGGTCACCGGATAAATCGGAGTGCCGGGGGGTTATCGGAACCCCTGGGGGAACTAATGGGCCAACATGGGCCTTGTGTGTGTGTGTGTGTGTGAGAGAGAGAGGAGAGGGCCCTAGGGCTGGCCGCCCCCCCCCCCTAGGAGTCCGAATTGGACTAGGAGGGGGCGGCGCCCCCCTCCCTTTCCTTCTCCCTCTCTCCATCTCCTCCTTCCCCCTCTCTTCCCTTGTTGGAAACCTACTAGGAATAGGATTCCTATTCCTAGTAGCAATCCTACTTGGGGCGCGCCCCATGAGGGCCGGCCGACCTCCCCCCTTGCTCCTTTATATACGGGGGCAGGGGGCAACCTAGAACACACAAGTTGACAGTTGTCTTAGACGTGTGCGGTGCCCCCCTTCATAGATTTCCATCTCGATCATATCGTTGTAGTGCTTAGGTGAAGCCTTGCGTCGGTAACTTCAACATCACCTTCATCGTGCCGTCGTGCTGACAAAACTCTCCCTCGGCCTCAGCTAGATCATGAGAACGAGGGACGTCACCGAGCTGAACGTGTGCAGATCGCGGAGGTGTCGTACGTTCGGTACTTGGATCGGTTGGATCACGAAGACGTTTGGCTACATCAACCGCGTTACTAAACGCTTCCGCTTTCGATATACGAGGGTACGTGGACACACTCTCCCCACTCGTTGCTATGCATCACCTAGATGGATCTTGCGTGTGCGTAGGCAATTTTTTTGAAATACTACGTTCCCCAACAGTGGCATCAGAACCAGGTCTATGCGTAGATGTTATATGCACGAGTAGAACACAAAGAGTTGTGGGCAATAATAGTCATACGGCTTACCAGCATGTCATACTTTCATTCTGCGGTATTGTTGGATGAAGCGGCCCAAACTGACATTACATGACCGCGTTCATGAGACTGGTTGTACCGTCGTGCTTCGCACACAGATGGCTAGTCGGTGTCTGTTTCTCTAGCTTTAGTTGAATCGAGTGTGACTACGCCCGGTCCTTGTTGAAGGTTAAAACAGCACACTTGATGAAAAATCGTTGAGGTTTTTGATGCGTAGGTAAGAAGGGTTCTTGCTAAGCCCGTAGCAGCCACGTAAAACTTGCAACAACAAAGTAGAGGACGTCTAACTTGTTTTTGCAGGGCTTGCTGTGATGTGATATGGTCAAGATGTGATGAGATATAAATTGTTGTATGAGATGATCATGTTTTTGTTAAAGTTACGGCAACTGGTAGGAGCCTTATGGTTGTCCATTTATTGCATAAGATGCAAGCACCATATAATTGCATTACTTTATCGCTATGCGATAACAATAGTTGCAAAAGCAATAGTTGGCGAGACGACCATGTGACGACATGTTGATAAAGATCAAGATGATAAAGATCGTGGTGTCATGCCGGTGACGATGGAGATCATGACGGTAC